GGTAAAACATGTTTGGTGGGGCCTCGGCATCATACTCTAGTTGCGCCATTTGTGAATCACTGTCACTGTCACTGTCACTGGTTGAGATGCAAGAAGATTCTTTTGTTGTCACGGATAAAAGGAAAAACAAATAGTTATATTAGAATAAGCAAGTTCTCAGATACAAGACTAATCTAAACCCCTGATCAAATGTATTTTCCTAAAAATTGACAAAAAGCAATGGAAGTAAGTATCATAAAACTAAGAAATGTCAAAATATGAAGGGGTGCATGATACACATTTGCAGGTTCTGAATCTAAAAACTCTACATTATAAAACAAACTGCTGCTAGTTAGCCATGATTAGCTGGGATCAAATAACTTTAACTTTAGTCTTAAGGCAAATTCTATTTTTTTTCCCAATTTTATTTTATATCTATAATTTAATCTACACAACAATCCTCAGATTCACACACACATTTTCATACACATTGTATAGGCGAGGAAACTTGAGACCGAGATAGAATAACTGGCCCAAGATAACACACTGGTAAATGGAGGCACAGGTATTTACACTCTGGAAATGCTGTTTGACACAAAGTCAAGTTGGACTTTGTCAATGATTCTGGTTCTTTCCAGCCTGTTTCAGAGAACACTGGAATCTTGTGGTGCCTCAAGGGCCACAGAGCAGAAAAAGGCAGGGGTGGTGTGGGGTGAGTCAAACAGGCTGTGCTCTAGGCCTTTCAATCCACTTTCAAACACAGTCCATCTATTATGATGTGTATAGGCGTACTTTGGGAAGCATTGCTTGAAAGATTCCCAAACAATGAATCTTGCCATGATGTCTCCTAATGCTGTTAACGATCTGCACTAGCAACCCCTTCAAGTCAGAGACCTTGTTTTATCTCTTCTTTGGTCTCACAATGGTGGGAAACCTCCCGTGACCCGTGTGCCAGCCTTTGGGAGAAGGAGCAGGTGGAAATCAGTGCCCTTGGGAAGCGCTGCAGGCTCCAGAACAGCGCTGTCTGAGCATCTCCCATGAAACCTGGCAACCCGCTTGCTGTCTGTTTCTCACCAAAGCCAACCGAATCATGCAGAGTACCTGTAGCCTCACTGGCACCACCATTCCCCGAGCTCTCCCCCAGCAGGGAAGGGACGTCTTCTCCAAATATCTCGAGGCAGTTTGCAATGAGAAATTGCACCAGACTAAGCTGTAACACAGGCAAGAACAGGGCGCTCTTCTTCACATGGTATCGCTAGAAATCCCACCTCACCTGTGAATCTTGGGTCTAAAAAAACTGTACAAGAATTCTGAGCAAAAAATCAATAGTTGATTCAAAAGAACCAACCATAATCCAGTTTTAAGAAATAAATGATACTTTCAAGACTACTCTGGCACAAATGTCAAAAAACTTTCAAATGTGTGAACAGAAGTTATAATTTCTACCCTAGCTTAATAGCTCACATTTTTATATCAGTGCTTACATCTTTAGAGAGAGAATAAATTGCAAGGAAGCCACACAGGATGCTTGGGGTAGAGATGTGTGTATATAGTCTCTTACTAAGCTTTACTTGTTATGAAGATCTTTCCAGGTTTATTGAGATGCAAATGTTGTAAAACACCTTATTAAAATTTATGAAGCATCCAATACACAAAAACCTGTGACATTCACCTATTAAGTGAAGAAGAACCCTAAACTTGGGAAGCAGAGATTTCTGTGGTTTCTCTGTGATGGCAGGAAGCAGCTGGAGAGAAGCCGTGTCAGCCTGTCTGCGGGCAGTCCCTCTGCACGCACTGCCATGCCTCATGCTTGCTCTCTGGCCCAGTTGGGGCCGAGCTGTGCTCTCAAGAGGCACGTTGGGGCTCTGTTAGGATACTCCAGAATCTTTTACTAGCTTCCTCAGCAGGCACACAAGTGAAAGGGTAGCCAAGCATTTTTGGGAATGAGCCACTGCTCATAGAGGAGGGCCAGTGTGTGTGGGACCATATTGCCCAACCCATGTAGGACGTGCTACTACGGGTCAGAGAGGTCCTGGGTGTTATCGCCATTGCACAGTGGGGAAACCGCCGCCTGGAGAGCGTGCCGAAGCCTACAAATCCTCAGTGAGTCGGCCTCGAGTTGTAAGTTGGCTTGCCCAACTCCAAAGCCCAGGAGTCACATCACACCACTCGTCTCTCTATTGTTCAGTCAGTCTAGCACTGACTCTGGGATGGAGACGGAAGTGACTCGGCTGCTCTCAACTTCCCACTGTACAGCCCACTGTCCCGTGCCCCACCAGAGTATGATAAATGCCCGCCACCCCAGGGGGGTGTAGCTAAGGCACACACTTTTAAAAACTGGTGTGTACGAATTACTACCACACGTTTCAGACTCAAGGTGGGGACTCTGCCCTGCAGGGCATAAAGGTTAAGAGCTCTCCTTACCTTTTATCCAAGTCCTTTCCTATATCTACATGCAAGGACTAGGCAGGCAAAGAAGGCTCAGGGCTATATACACTGATAAAGCATAAGCTGTCATCGTGTGTTCTCTGCTGAGCGACGCTGTGTGATACTCCGAAAAGATGTTGCAAGAGAACCGCATTGGCTCCCGGGAGCTGGTCTAAAAGCCTCAAGACAGAAAAATGCACTTTTAAACGAGGGAAGTCATTTGGCCAAGGAAGTGGTAAACACAGAGACCAGGAACAGAGCACTTTGCCCACCAAGTGCGCAGCCCACTCAAGCGGAGCTCCAGGTGTGAGTGCACAGAGAAATGTGGGACTCAGTTCAATTCCTGAGCCAGGTAAGAACTTCTCCGGTTAGATAAGTGCTTGGCCAAAGGAGGGTCAGACCACTGGTGCACTGGTCCGCTAGCCTCTCGGACCAGTGGGCCTCATTCCTATTAGTTTCTTACATTCGGGTGTAAAATGGGCAAGGAGTCTGTATGACTAAGCTTAGAGAAAAAGAGTTCAATGAGGGCAGTTAAGAGGTGCATGTATGTTTAAACTGGCCTTCTGGGTGTGATCAAATGAAAACCCTTTGGCTTTGGTAAGTATTGTAGTGGTCAAAGCTGTAAATGATAGGCATATTTTCCTAAGGGTATGTCGGTTGTAGTTCTCAATGTGAGCCTAGTAGAGTAATTGTTGCATCATTACCTCCGGGTGGCAGTTATGTTCTCATCTTCGCTCTCCCCTTGCTCAGGAATGGCTAGCCATTTTCAGAGAGACTGGATGAAAATACACTTCCTTGGATATTTTCAGGAAAATCCTTACAAAGATAAAGAATATTATTATTGCAGCCAATACATATTGGAGAAATTGCAGAGAAAACTTTGAGTGGCAAACTTCAGTTCAGTGCCCGCTACCTTCAAAGCCACCCAAACCATGACCTAGGAGAGCTCGGTTCTGACTCTGCACTGACTTGCACACCCAAAGCAGTAGCTTGGATTTTCACCACAACTGAGGAGCATAGAAACGGAGTCTAGGTTCTGTTGGCAATGAAGATAAAGCCCCTTGTAGCCTCTGGAAGTGACTCTTTGTGTACATTTTAGCCAACTAGCACAAACTGACCAGGTCTGGTGATAAAACAATTCAGCTTCTTGAGAAGAAATACACGTACCCATCTTGCTTGTTTGTTTGAGACAGTGGTCACTCTGAATTCTAGCAAGTAGTTTCTGGAGCAAAACACACCTGCACGTCCTATTGCACACATATTGAGAGAACTGGGCCTTCCGACCTGAGGTATCTGTGCCCCTTGGGAGAAAACTATTCATTTATTAGCTCCCTTCTGTAACCCTATAGAAGTCCAGCTCTGCAGACTTATAAGCTGCCAAATCCCCAATGTCTAACTACCTGTTACCCTCTTCCATCCCTGAGTGGAACATATATGTCCTCCCCCCAAAAGGTAAAGTGCATCAAAATTTCAAAACATCACAGTTTCAGGCCTCTGGATTGGAGATAGGCAAATGTAAGCTTCCTAAATGGAAGCCTGGAAATCCGTCACTACAGAAGGCTGATGAACAAGTGTTACCGTTATAAAAGGGAGCCTATTACCACTTATGAAGCTTACATGTTTTGCACAAGCCTGAGGGCCTTGCCAGCTTCACAGGCCTACCTTGCTTCCACTGGGCTCACTACATGGCCCAGGACTTCTCTGATTTAGCTCAGTCAGAAAATGTCTGCAGGCAACCATCACAATTATAATCCAGGAATTGTTCCCTCCTCCTAATACTTACGGAGCTGCCCTGTGTGCCAGGTGCTCTTCTGAGTGCTGGCGATAGAGCCGTGAAGGCAAAGGGAAGTCCTAGTCCTGTCATTCCTCTACTGAGTCACTGGCACACAGTACCCACCCACCCGGGCCAGGGTTCTCACTGTTTCCTACGGAACGGTCCCAGTATATTTGGAGGGAGGAGGCACGACAGCCCTGGCTGGCTCTGGGAGTCCAGCAGGGAGCCGGAGGGCACTAGCCTCGGGCCCCAAGCTGCAGCTGTCGGGGCATGTGTCTCCCCTCTCTCCTGGACTCTGTGCTGCAGTCACACCGGTGGCCCGCTGTGCTGACGCCAGAACGTGAGCCGAGCTGGCTGTGCCAAGGGTATTTGTCATTGCACCTCTGTCTAAGACAACTTAATGGCAAACTCAGTGTGGTCCCGAGGAGATAGTCCTTTGTGGTTGAGGCCAATGTCTCCAGGTAGTTTCACATGGTGTTATCATGGCCAAGGTCATAAAGTCTGATTGTCCACCAGGATCAGTCAACTTTAGGAAGAGAAAACTTGAGGGATGTCAAAGATGTCTAAGAAACTGTACCTATCAGTGCCACCGTCTGGCTAGTTTGGGCTTACAACAGAGGAATAGGCAAGAGCCTGCTGACTCTTGCTAGAAAATCATAGCAGTTCCATGTGTGCACCCTGCAGAGAGCGGCAGCAGCCTTGCTATCACATACCCAGTGTATATTACTGTGGGCCCAGTGGGGGCAGTGGTCCACTCTACGTCATTTCTGACTGTTGGTATTTATCATACAGTTTCATGGAGGGCAAGGGAAGACCAAATGTAACTGACATTCTGTGATAATTTTCATAAACTGTTTGTAGTCATTACTACATTAACATGGTTCAGAGCTGGCAACAAGCTCTAAGATGGACTGATGAAATTCTTTCTCGGTTCCCTTATTCTCCTTATAGACATGTAACTGATACTTGTGATTTAGCCGTGTCCCTTCACAACTGATCTTTTTTTGTATGAACTTACTGAACATTCAAATGTCCAAACTAATTGTAGCTGCTGCACCCACTTTTCACAAGTCACATTTACCAGGGGAGGCATGTGGTGAGAGCTGATTGCCGTGCAACTATGACCGTGGCAGTGGGCTAAACAAACCAATTCAGGTTTTACCGGAGGCTGCCAAAGGTGCTAAAGGTGAAAAGAGGCTCACATGCTGGAGTCAGTCCTGCGTGACTGACAGTGAAAGGGATGAGGGTAAGAGGGGAAGGAATGATGATGAAGCAAACAGAGATTTTGGTGGCCGCGTTCAGCATTTTTTGATGCATTGTAAGGCAAATATTTGCATACTATGGCAAAGTAATACAACCATCTCCAAAGCAAAGACTAATATAAATTTTCTTTTGGAAACTTTCCCTCCTTAGGAATATGGGCAGGAAGTCACCAAATTAGGACGCTTGTTTTGGTAACCATTTTGTATATACATGCGGAGTTTGAAGTTTATTATTATTTTGTTGTTATTATTATGGTTATTTTGCATAGAGCGCTCAAAAGTCATGATGGGGAAGGTCATGTGTGACAGAAGAGGAAAGTATATCTAACACACAGGGCTTTTGATGATCAAAGTAGTTTCCTGAAATTTTGACGTTGTGTTTTACAGTTCTGCACATTCTTAACCTATTAGGTCTTTGATGGCTCCTAGGCCGTTGTGATGGAGGATCCCAATCACACAGCTTCAGAGATAGGCTGTGTGTGGACACTGCTAGAACTCTCCCTACCTTTAAGACCGCCACTGCCACATAGATGGATTCACCATCCCAGTCCACTTTGTCCCTGGAATTGAGCTGCTCCTTTAAGGCTCTGCAGGATTCTGCACTGGTCGCTGTCCAGAAGACAGCTCTTGAGAGCGGCCATTTTTGATTAATAAAATCAAGCAGATCCTATAGGAAGAAAAGGAAAGACAGACACATGGCAGCTCGTCTCCTCAGGGTATGTGGAGGCATGGTGCTGGAGTGGAGGGACTAAACGTGTAATATTTTTTTCATTTCTCTAAATACATTTCTACCCAACAATCCCTTCTATAGTTGTGCACTGAAACACTTCAAACACTTATTTTAATCAGATTTTCCTTTTCAGGGTATTCATGCTTTTTCATCAAACTTCTCTGCTTCAAGGCCTCTGTGGAATCACCCTGTCCTCCTCCATTCATTCTTCACTAGTCCCTAACAGAGGAAGATGCTCTTCCCCACGTCTGTAAATCATTTTGCCATACTCATTTCCGATTTGTTTATTCCCTTCTGAGCAAGTATATACATACCCAATTCTACTTCTTCTATTTCCTTCCCTTTTATAAGCAGACCCCAATCCGTCACCTCATCCTCTCATTACATTCCGTTGTCAACAGTCTTTCTTTCCTGTGGCCGTATCTCCAGGGCCTCTGCTTGCAGTGTGGTGAGATAATAGGGGTTGGAATCACGTAGTCCAAGGGCTCTAAAGTCTAGTGTCCAGCCTATCCTCTGTGTGACCTGGGGCACATACATACTCTGCTGACTCTCATGTGTGTGTGTGTGTGTGTGTGTGTGTGTGCGCGCGTGTGCGTGTGCGTGTGTGTGTGTGTGTAAGTGTGGATGATGAAAATCACAGCTACGTCAACCCCTAAATTTGTGGTGAAGGATGTGAGGACCAGGGCAGTAGCTAGCATGATAAATTCTTTCAATCTAGAATAAAATTACCTGTATCTAGTATAGCGCTAGGAGAGATGCTGGACACTCAGTGAGGGCTAACACTGTCAACTCAATGCACCACTGAAGATAACATAGGTCCAACTCGGTGGCTTGCACCTGACACGTGCCATTTGGGTGGAAGTGCCCGTATTGGCCAGAGGATGAGTCTTTACACTTAAGCACTTGACATGCAAGTCAAATCCACGCAACTAAAGTTTGAGTTGTATGACTGAGTCAGTTTAGATGAAGGAGACTTGAACCTACTGTAGAATTTAAGGAAGAGGATGAAAAGCAATGAGGATGAGGTGGACGAAGCCCACTTTAATGGACCTTAGCAGGCATGGGTGCAATTTTCCTGAAACAAATACAATGGACAAGAATACCTTCTCCTGTGGTATTTGCCTTATAAACTTTGCAGTACCTAAGGCTGATTTGATTCTTTGATGTAATATTAACAAAGCCTCTCAGCTAGAGCCAGGGGCTAACGATCTCTCCATTTAGGGATAGGTTTAGAGGTTTGATGCATTGTAAGGCAAATATTTGCATACTATGGCAAAGTAATACAACCATCTCCAAAGCAAAGATTAATATAAATTTTCTTTTGGAAACTTTCCCTCCTTAGGAATATGGGCAGGAAGTCATCAAATTAGGACGCTTGTTTTGGTAACTATTTTGTATATACATGCTGTATATACAAACTCTCCTTCCTCAGGAGGGCTGCACAAGACCTACCAGAATAGGGTTGGGCAGCTTGTCATTGTCACACATGCATGTGAGAGAAGTGCCAAAGAGCTGTCCTGGTTTTGCAGTTGGTAGAGCCAGGCTGGGGGAGTCCGGACAAGTACCCGAGCCCTTCCAACAGGCCAGGCGTGCGCTGGCACTCTTTTTAACTCTTCCAGTGGGAATCTAAGGAAGAAGTGGGATGATCGTTACTGGTAGTTTAACTCACATCACCTTCTTTCCACCCTTGCCATTGCACATCACATTTGTTCCAATGGCGAGAAGAGAAAGAAACTGAATCATTGGATATTTGGAATTTCCCACATTCTGAAATTGGCCATTTGCATGCTTGCAGTACTAATGTGTTCTTCTTCTCCATATCCTGCCAACCAGTAGTTGAACCTCCAGGCTTGATCAGACTCAGGGTCAGTCCTTTCATGGGCATCTACTGCCTACTTCACTGCCTCATGAAGACTGTTCCTTGGTATTAACCATGCGCTGTGGATTGCGGTGTCAGAGCCCATTTTGAAAGCTAAGACAATGTGGTATTCCAAACAAGCAGAGTGTGGTTTACCTTCATAGAAAGACTCCTCTGACCCTGAGATTTCCTGTTGGGTTTTCTAAGTGACCAGGTATGGTCACCTTTCTCCTGTCAAAAGGATCTGCCCTTCCTGACAACACCTGCTTGACCACACTCATCAGCCAGCCTCTGGCCCTACGCTCTGGGGGGCCACAACCCTCAGGCAGCTCTGCGGATGACTTTCTGCAGTCAGGGTCCTTGGCAAACAGTCATTATGTGCTGGTTATATTATAAGATTCCAGGTGGCCATGTTTCTTAATACTCCAACAAGCTGCTTAGGCATGATTTCTAATTACCCAATAGCTCAGGGCAGTGGAGATGAAGAGCTTTACAAAGAAAATGTGATCATTTCACGTTCAACGTTCCCACTGCTCAGCTATGAATATTTTCCTAATAAGGCACCTGAAGGTTTGCCTAAATCACCTGCTTACAAAACTGAATGCTTTAAAGAAGTCAACACTGGAGTCGATTTGTAGAAAGAAAAACGTCTAGACGAGTAACATTTCACCAAATACCCCCAAATGCACATCCACTTGGCTTTTCGCGGATGTAGTGAGCGAGTGCACTGCCGCGGGCACTCACAGGGAGCAGCGCTTGTGACGCTGGGTCAGCAGGACCAGGATCAAATGGCCTAAGGGCTCCTGCTTTCCCACTGAGCTGGGTAAGCTACTCAAGAGTCTGTGAGCTTCAGTTTGCTCAACTTTAACATGAACGAAGCTGCTTGCGTCTTGCTGGTGGACCACATCGTATAACGTCCAACTCGGCACCAGTTGTGGCTCACTCGGCCTGAAAAAGTAACTTCCCTTTGAGGGCCTAAGGCAGTCTCAACACCCACAGCAGACCCCACCCTCATTCTCCACTTGCCCTTTCAGCCTCCAGAAGGTATGTGGGTGTGAAGCAGTAATGCCCCCACTCTGCCTGATGAAGGAACTTTCCTCCTGCCCTGAGGTGCACACCCCAGCTGTTCTAAAGGGAGAGAAGGAAGGATGCAAATATGATCTTCAGTCCAGCAGGAGGACCCTGTGTGTCGACGTGCACACACACTTAGGCTACATGTGCGAATGGAGGTTGAGGTGTGTGTGATCTGGTTTCCCTACTTGTAACCTGGTTTTGTTATTTCTAGAACTATCCAGATGTCGTCTGTTACCCAGCCTCCGTAAGAAGGATGCTGTATCACTTGATACAAAGCTATGTATTCTAGCTACTCTATGAGCACAGACATAAAGCAAAGTAGACACTGAGTCCTGTACTTTCTTAAAAATATTTTTCGTCTTAGCTGGACCATTTGTAATGTATGTTATTTGGTCGTAGAGTTCATGTTGCCCTTGTGGCTACTAGAAATATATGCTATGGCCATGAGTATGTGAGAATGATGATGAAAGAAGCTGAGTTTTAGGAAACCAGGAATTTTGTATAGTCATGGCATGATGTGGTTTAGTGGTTCCTCACGGTGGAATTAAGGTATGAACATTTAAAAAGCAAATTTTTGAATCATTGTTCTTATAGGATAACAATCATAATGTTAAAAATGCTGTGAGTAGAAACTGTTTTCTGGCTCAAATACTTCTCAGATTAATAGCACAGTGTCTTCCAAGGATGACACTTCATTGGCAGTGTTTTGGAATTGTTGAAACAAAAATGGTATGAAGAAATAATAGTAAGCCCCAGCCGTAAAAATTCTATCCAGTTGTAGCCTCCACATGGGTGTGAAGCAGACATGAGTCAGCTCGTTGTGTGGGTAGAATTGAAAGTTCGATTCTGTCGAGAATGCCAAGGCTACTCCACCGTATCTAAAGTCGGTAAGTCCCATAATTCTTTGCTCCCCCTGAATTCTTTCATTCTAGGTTTCTCTGAGCAGGCCATCATCTGATTACTTCTTGTGATGGCCTGAGATACTGGAGAAAACCCTGTGATGGGGAAAATATATTCCCCGGACATATGAAGCTCATGCTCTAATTAAGACACAAGTGATGTTCATAACATAACTGAATGTTGGAAATGCTCTGGGGTCACAGAGAAGGGAGAGACTGTCTACCTAGAGGAATGAAGGGGGAAAAACCCCTCCTAGCAATGCACTGGGTGTCTCTGAAGTTTATTTTGGGTTATTGGTTCATTATTAGGTTCTTGCATGTACTGCCTCCCCACCCCCTCATGGAGAACCACCTCTGTGTCCTGAGTTTGTTCTCAGGATTGGAGACATCAGCCAAGAAAAAGGCCCTGAAGGAAAGGAGGGGGCTCACCTCTACCTTGTTGATTCCTGGCCAGGTGCCTGGGCTTCAGGATGAAAGAAGAGGCAGAATCGTCCAGTCCCTCAGGCAGGAACCTAGTAGCTGGAAGGCGGCTCATTTTAATTCCATAGGGATGTTCATGCCCTACATGGAGAAAAATCTGAATATAGATTCCAGCTGATGGTGGTGGGTGGGTAGGATACAAACCTACCTCACCCTAAGCATGGACACCATGCTGGGGTACGCTGCTGTTATCCTGGGGCTTCTGTAGAAAGAATGCTGTGCCTCTGAGTCAGCGTCATATTCACTTGCCTGGGGGACACCCTGTAGAAAGCAGGTGCCCAAGCAAGAGTTTCAAAAGAGAAAAAGTTTAAATGTGGTGCTTTGCTTGGAATGCACAGCCCCATCAGGGCAGTGCACAGTGTTGGCTTGTGCTGTGTTTCCATCTGAGACTATTTTAGTCCCTCCACCTCCAGCACCGTGCCTCCACATACCCTGAGGAGACGAGCTGCCATGTGTCTGTCTCCTTTTCTTCCTATAGGATCTGCTTGATTTTATTAATCAAAAATGGCCACTCACAAGAGACGTCTTCTGGACAGTGACCAGTGCAGAATCCTGCAGAACCCTAAAGGAGCAGCTCAATTCCGGGGACAAAGTGGACTGGGATGGTGAATCTGTGTGTGGCAGTGGTGGTATTAAAGGTACGGAGAGTTCTAGCAGTGTCCACCCACACACAGCCTAACAGCCTATCTCTGAAGCTGTGTGATTGGTATCCTCCATCACAACAGCCTAGGAGCCATCAAAGACCTAATAGGTTAAGAATGTGCAGAACTGTAAAACACAACATCAAAATTTCAGGAAACTACTTTGATCATCAAAACCCCTGTGTCTTAGATATACTTTCCTCTTCTGTCACACACGACCTTCCCCATCATGACTCTTGAGCACTCTATGCAAAATAACCATGATAATAACAACAAAATAATAATAAACTTCAAACTCCGCACGTATATACAAAATGTTCACCAAAAGTCTTAATTTGATGACTTCCTGCCCATATTCCTAAGGAAGAAAAGTTTCCAAAAGAAGATTTATATTAATCTTTGGAGATGGTTGTAATATTTTGCCATAGTATGCAAATACTTGCCTTACAATGCATCAAAAAATGCTGAGTGTGGCCACCAAAATCTCTGTTTGCTTCATCATCATTCCTTCCCCTCTTACCCTCATGCCTCTCACTGTCAGTTGCTTAGGACTGACTCCAGCACGTGGGCCTCTTTTCACCTTTAGCACCTTTGGCAGCCTTTGTTAAAACTACAATTGGTTTGTTTGGCCCACCACCACGGTCACAGTCGCACAGGAATCAGCTCCCACCACATGCCTCCCAACTGAGAGTCACTATGTTTGATTTGATAGTGTATCTTATACATCTATGTGCAGACCACCAAGATGCTATAAAGTGGATCCTAGACAGCCTACAAAACTCAAAATTGTTTCCAACAATTAAGTACCTTTTCATTGTTCCACCACATTGTTTAAGTATTTTATGAGCTCAGGATCAGTAGTTACAAGCAGGGTTAAGTCTGTATTTCTGCACCCGAGTGAAGGTTTCAGATGGATATATGCCACCCTGATACAAAATACTGTTGATTCCAAATGCTAAAAACAAAAGAAATATTAAAGAAAAGTCATTATCTTTGTAACTCCAGAAAATAAAACATGTTTATATGCGACTATGTTTTCATTTATCCTATAAAGCTGTAAATATCTAAACCCAGGTGTTTGTGTGTGTGTCTTGTTGAAAGCACAGTAGGTACAAAGTAGCATTAGAAACTCTTAAAATCTTGACCAAAATAAAAACAGAGATCAAGCAATTATGGAGACCAATGACAACAATAATTCAACACTGCAAAATCGGTGGGACGCAGCGAAGGCCATGCTAAGAAAGAAGTATACTGCAATATAGGCCTACTTCAGGAAAGAAGAACAATCCCGTATGAACAGTCTAAACTCACAACTAATGAAACTAGAAAAAGAAGAAAAAATGAGGCCCAAAGCCAGTAGAAGGAAGGACATAATAAAGATTAGAGCAGAAATAAATAAAATCTAGAAGAATGAAACAATAGAATCAATGAAAGCAGGAGCTGGTTCTTTGAGAAAATAAACTAGATAGATAAACCCCTAGCCAAACCCATCAACAAAAAAACAAGAGTCTATACACATCAACAGAATCAGAAATGAGAAAGGAAAAATCACTACTGACACCACAGAAACACAAAATCTGAACAGACCAATGACCAGCAACAAAATTGAACTGGTAACCAAAAAACTATCTAACAACAAAACACCTGGACCAGATGGCTTCACTGCTGAATTTTATCAAACATTTAGTGAAGTCCTAATACCCATCCTCCTTAAAGTTTTTCAAAGAGTAGAAGAGGGAATACTTCCAAACTCATTTTACAAGACCAGCATCACTCTAATACCAAAACCAGGCAAAGACACCACACAAAAAAGGAAATTACAGACCAATATCCCTGATGAACATAGATGCAAAAATATTCAACAAAATATTAGCAAACAGAATTCAAAAATACATGAAGAGGATCATCCATCATGATCAAGTAGGACTTATTCCAGGGATGTAAGGATGGTACAACATTTGAAAATCTATCAACATCATCCACCACATCAACAGAAAGAAGGACAAAAACCACTTGATCATCTCCATAGATGCTGAAAAAGCATCTGACAAAATTCAACATCCATCCATTCATGATAAAAACTCTCAACAAAATGGGTATAGAGGACAAGCACCTCAACATAATAAAGGCCATATATGATAAACCCACAGCCAACATTATACTTAACAGTGAGAAGCTGAAAGCTTTTTCTCTAAGATTGGGAACAAGACAAGGATGCCCACTCTCCCCACTTCTATTCAACATAGTACTGGAGGTCCTAGCCACAGCAATCAGACAACACAAAGAAATAAAAGGCATCCTTATTGGCAAGGAAGAAGTTAAACTGTCCCTGTTTGCAGATGACATGATATTGCACATAAAAAACCCTCAAGAATCCACTCCAAAACTACTTAGATCTAATATCTGAATTCAGCAAAGTTACAGGATACAAAATTAATACACAGAAATCTGTGGCATTCCTATAAACTAACAATAAACTAGCAGAGAGAGAAATCAGAAAAACAATTCCATTCACAGTTTCATCAAAAAGAATAAAATACCTAGGAATAAACCTAACCAAGGAAGTGAAACACCTATACTCTGAAAACTACAAGACACTCACAAGAGAAATTAAAGAAGATACCAATAAATGAAAACACATCCCGTGCTGATGTAGGAAGAATTAATATTGTCACAGTGGCCATCCTGCCTAAAGCAATCTACAGATTCAATGCAATTCCTACCAAAATACCAACAGCATTCTTCAACAAACTAGAGAAAATCGTTCTAAAATTCATATGGAACCACAAAAGACCCTGAATAGTGCAAGCAATACTGAGAAGGAAGAATAAAGCAGGGTGGATTATACTCCCCAACTTCAAGCTCTACTACAAAGCCACAGTAATCAAGGCAATTTGGTGCTGCGACAAGAACAGACTCATTGATCAATGGAGCAGAACAGAGAGCCCTGATACAAACCCAAGCATATATAGTCAATTAATATACGATAAAGGAGCCACGGATATACAAGGAGGAAATGACAGCCTCTTCAACAGCTGGTGTTGGCAAAACTGGACAGCTACATGCAAGAGAATGAAACCAAGTTATTGTTTAACCCCATACACAAAAGTAAACTCAAAATGGATCAAAGACCTTAATGTAAGTCATGAAACCATAAAACTCTTATAAGACAACATAGGCAAAAATCTCCTGAACATAAGTATGAGCAACTTCTTCCTGAACAAGGGAAACAAAAGCAAAAATGAACACATGGGACTACATCAAACTAAAAAGTTTCTGTACGGCAAAGGACACCATCAACAGAATAAACAGGCATCCTACGGTATGGGAGAATATATTTTTAAATGACTTATCCAACAAGGGGTTAACATCCAAAATATATAAAGTACTCACATGCCTCAACACCCAAAAATCAAATAACCCGATTAAAAAATGCACAGAGGATATGAAGAGACAGTTCTCCAAAGAAGAAGTTCAGATGGCCAACAGACACATGAAAAGATGCTCCACATCACTAATCGTCAGGGAAATGCAAATTAAAAACACAATGAGATATCACCTCACACCAGTAAGGATAGCCAGCATTGAAAAGACTAAGAACAAAAAATACTGGAGAGGATGCGGAGAAAGGGGAACCACCCTACACTGCTGGTGGGAATGTAAGCTAGTTCAACCATTGTGGAAAACAGTATGGAGGTTCCTCAAAAACTAAAAATAAAAATACCATTTGACCTGGGAATTCCACTCCTTAGAATTTACTCAAAGAATACAACTTCTCAGACTCAAAAAGACATATGCACCCCTATGTTTATTGCAGCACTATTTACAACATCCAAGATATGGAAGGAACCTAAGTGTCCCTCGGTAGATGAAACGATAAAAATGTGGTACATATACACAATGGAATACTATTCAGACATAAAAAAGAAACAAATCCTACCATTTGCAACAACATGGATGGAGCTGCAGGATATTATGCTCAGTGAAATAAGCCAGGCGGAGAAAGACAAGTGTCAAATTATTTCAGTCATTTGTGGAGTGTAACAACGAAGCAAAACTGAAGGAACAAAATAGCAGCAGACTCCCAAGAAGGGTCTAGTGGTTACCAAAGGGGAGGGGTGTGGGAGGGTGGGTCGGAGGGAGGGAGAAGGGGATTGAGGGGTATTATGTTTAGTACACATAATGTGTGTGTGTGGGGGGGGGGTCACAGGGAAAACTGTATCACAGGGAAGGCAAACAGTGAATCTGTGGCATTTTACTACACTGAAGGACAGTAACTGCGTTGGGGTATGGGTGGGGTCTTGAAAATATGGGTAAATGTAGTAACCACATTGTTTTTTTATGTGAAACCTTCATAAGAGTATATACCAATACCTTAATAAAAAATTTTTAAAAAAATGAAAACATCTGTATTTATGAGGCAATAAAATTCTCTCTGCAATTCAAGCCTAAATTCCAATTGTGATTAAGGAATGTCAAACCCCCTTTTGCGTCAGAGTTACCAACAGATTAAATGGTCCAATCATCCCAGGCAAGGCTCTCCCTCCCCTTTTCCTCCTCGTCTCTCAAATCACCGTAGGTTCTACCAGAAGGTACAACCGGCCTGGGGCTAAACGCCATCACCACCAATCCCACAATTACCTAAGGTAAGGTAGTGATGCCAGGGTTCTTGTTCACGGAGCCAAAGACTGAACTTCGCAAACGGTCAAGGTAGGAGAGCAAGGCAGAGGCTTTTATTTAGGGAGAAAGAAATAGGACAGAGCTCCTGGCTCAGGCCAGGCGGGGACAAGAGAGCCCTGGGGTGACGCGTTGTCTGCGGGTTTTATAGGCACTTGAGAGACAAAGGGCTAGGGATATATATCTGCTAAGTGGTCCCAAAATGTTTACTTTTGAAGAAACACTAAGTTTCTTGTTAGTCTTGCTGGTTATTTACAAGAATTTTACTGCTCTCATTTCCTCCCAAGATAGCAGCTTCCTGGTCTGGGAGCATATCACTCAAGGCTGCCTGCTTTGCTTCCAAGGTGGGCTACATTACTGTCTGTTTGTTAAGAAACTTACTTTTTAACTAATTGGGTTTTAAGATGTAATCTTATTTTCAAGATGGAATCATTCCTGTTTTTAACTACCTTGTTTTGGGCTTGCTTGCTACATTGCCCAAGATGCAAATCATTAGTTTAGGGCTGGAGAAAGAAAAGCAGCACCTGGGCGAAGTTAGAAAAACAAGCTGGGCCTCGCAGCAGGCTAAAGCAAATCCCACAATGGTTTATCTTGCCTTGCCTTTTCTGGAGGCCCTCACCCTACTCTAAGCCCAGGGTCCCTGTCTCAGTAGGAGTAAAAATATACAGGGGCTCCACCCCAGTTGTACTGCGTCGTTAAGTCTCTGGGGATGGCGGGGNCGAGGCAGGCTTCAGCAGCACCGAGGTCTCTACATTCACCATTAGCAACATGGCGGGAGGAGCACCTACATCCGCCTCATCCCAGATTCCTCCTGTCGGGCAAGAGGCCAGGGTAGAAAGGAGCTGAATTTGCGCCGCCAGGCCCACCGGTCTCCCTGCCTTGCAGCCTAACCGCGGGCCTGAGCGGCGGCCTGGGCTCAGTTTTCGCCGCCCTGCCACCTGCGCAAGGACTTACATCATAACTCAGCCACGATTTCGGAGCACCTGCGGAGGGTGATGCCTTGCTCTCGGGAGAGCTGCAGCGCCATGACTGGGTCCGGGGACGAAGGCACGCACTTCTCCCCGGCAGACAACGACAACAATGGCTCCAACAGCAGTTCCCCAGCACTCGTTGCAAAATTAACGACGCAGCGCACGGTGCAGCCCTTCGCGCAGGCGCGCAAACCTCTAGGTCTCCCCGCCACGGGGCGGGGGCCTGTCCCCCTCTTCGCCGTCCGCAGAGCTGGCTATTCGCGCAGGCGCAGTGGGTAGGCGTAGCCACGCTGTTCCGGGTTGTCGCGCCTCGAGGGAACCCTGTTGGGCGCTTCTACTTGCGGAAGCTAAATCGGTGGAGGGTAGAAGATTGCCCATTACGGTTTAGTGGCCGCTCCCCAGGTTTGTGGAGCACAACGTCTGAGTTTCAAAAACACTTTCAAAGTGCTTATGATATGCCTCACGTCTGCACCAGTAAGTAGCCCCAGTGACCCTAGTGCGCGGTCGGAACTTTTGCTGTTTTGGTAATTCGCAAAACAGCTGCGTCCGTCGCAGCCAAGCCACATCTCTAGAGGGCCTGATTAGTGTGTGGGCGCGCGGCTTTTCCTGAGAAATTGGGTTAAAGGGATGAACCGTATCCGGTTTTCTGTGGCCTGTTTACGTCTGACCACCGCTGTACGCAACGCCGCCACCCGCCCGGGCGAGGCATCCGCTGGCCGCCTGGGGGCTTCCTCTGGCGCTGGGGCTGCGTCGGCTCCGCCCACCCGCAGGCGCTGGTCAGAAATAGCCACCTCAATGAAAAGGGCCCTCAATAATGAAGATTTTTTTTTTCGATGAATTTCGATTCTCAAGTTGAATGACTTTTCATGTTAAAGTGAAAAGTATTTAAGAGGTAGTGCCCAATTTGTTCATGTAAATTGTGAAACAAGTCAAGCAGCAAAAAAAATTATTTGTAAAACGAAGTCAAAAACCTTTATCTACCAGATATACCGTTACTTAATTATATGAGAAATGCCCAAGTGTATTGGTTTTCTATTGCATAACAAATTACCACAAATTAGTGATTTAAAACCACCCATTTTTTTTCTGTCAGTCCTGAAAGCCATGACCCTGTTGGTGTGGCATAACTGTGGGCTCTGCTCAGCATCTCAGAAGGTGGCATAAAGGGGTCTGCAGGTGGGTTCTCTCACCTGAGATCTGGAGTCGTCTTCCAAGCCGCTTGGTGGTTGGCAGGATTAATATCCTTGTAGTTCTCGGATTGAGGTCTTCCTCTTGCTTGCCGTTGGCCAGAGACATCTTGCACCTTTGCCCAGGTTGCCCTTGCATAGACCTTCTCACACTTGCAGTGTTTTAGAGACTTTAAAAGCCCTTTAAGGGCTCACCTGCTTATTTAAGACCCAATCCTACACGTCATTTCCCCTTTGATGACCTTATCCCCAAAGTGATATCCTTCATATTCACAGGTTGTGCCACATACAAGGGGAGAGAATATAGGTTCATGCTCCCTAGAGGGCACAAATTTGGGGGAAGGCACCTTAGAATTCTGCCTTTCACAGTGCTATGTATCAGATTTTGATCAGTTTGAAAAGTAAAACATAGGTACTAGGTAACAGGCAGATTTAACTCAATAAAATACTTCTTTACATCCTTTCGTCTCTGTGTGTTTAAATCACCATCTTTTCACTTCTACCAGAAACTTGGGTTAGAGCCAGAATTCTGGCATCACCGGAATAGAGCTCACTCAATGCCCACGTTATTCCCTACAAAAATTGTCTGTTTGTCTAAGGAACTTTATATAATTCTCAGCACCTTAGGAAAGACTTCCTTGCATTTCATAGTAATATCTGAAGATGCACATTAATTGTTAATATAATTTTGGAGATTCTAGAATTTAAAAGGCTAACAAAATACATGAGTTTTCCATGCATACAGGAAGTATTTATTAAACACTTTCTTTGTGCTCCATGAGATATAAGAAATAACACTTAGAAGGCATGATGTGTACTTTTGGAGGAGTTTGTCATTTATTTTGTTTAAATATGCATAACAGAAAGAAAAAAATATTGAAGGCTCAGAAATTTGGCCTCCTATGACTTCTGCCTACTTCAACAGCCCCCTTTCAGAAAGATTACTTTCCTTATCTGCCTGAGACTTTAACTTTTCCACCTCAGGGCTTTTCATGATGTGCTTTCCTCTACCTTACATTTATATTCTTTTAGAAAATTTAAATGCTACTGCATTAAAGAAATTTCCTTTGACCCCTCAAGCTAAATGGTCCTGCTCTTATGCATTCTCATAGCATCTCATAGCACTATTTTACAGCACTGCTTTCACTGTTGCAATGAAAACAATTATACTGTAGTAATTATGTAATGATTTGTGTTATATCTTCCTGTTTTGGGAAGGATCCATGTGGGATCACATTCTGTGGTTGCTCCACAAATATTTGTGAATGAATAAGGCTTTGAATATTTTCCTAGGAAAACTTCATGGAAGAATCCAGAATATTTCTTATATGGAGAGTAGGTTAGATAGATGAGGTGTGGTCACCTTTAGGGAGCTTTGAGTACCCTTCTGAGTTGATTAACTGGAGGTACCAGGGATTTCTGGGTTCTTTGGATTGACATAATTAAAGGAGAATTTTCTCAAGTGTAAATACAGTAATAATTGTAGAATGGATTGTGTACAGGTATCAAAATGTGCTTGTCCTAATTGAGATATGCTACAAGTATAAATTACCAGATCTAGAAGGCTTAGTATGAAAAAAAAGAATATGAAGTATCACATTTATATGTTTTTAACTGATTACATACTGAAATTATATTTTACATGCATAGGATTACATCAAATATATTACTAAAATAATTTCATTTGTTTTCAGTTTTTTAATCTGACTTCTAGAACATTTAAAATTACTTGTATTTTTACTTTTAAGATCACTTGTATTTAAAATGTGACAGTGGTGGTCTACTTTATGGAGTCAAGGAGATGCTGGTTTCAACCAGCATCCCAAATGATTTGGATGCAAGTCCTTAATCACTCTAAGCAGTAGACTATGACTGATATTTTAGTAACTCAGGTCTAGGAATTTGAGAACCTAGACTGTGTGGATGCCAGAAAGTTTAAATAAGAAAGTTTAAATCAGAGCAACACATTTTGAAAACAAGAATTAAGTCGATGACTGATATGAAGGGAGAATGAAATGACAGTAAGGGTAAATCCAAGGTGACAAGCCTACAGTACAGGGTAGTGTCAGTCAAACCTGTGGGGATGTTAGGAGAAGCTGCCCACGCTCTGAGCTTTTCCAACTTTTTATATGTGACAATAACATTTAGGATTCTAGAAGCTTTGGAGGGACTTCTTTCCCATCAACTTGTGGGTCCTTGATTTTATATTGACTTCAACTTATCTAAAGCATGCACACTTATCTTTACAGAATTTTATATAAAACCTTCTTTTCAGTCACTAGGGTTTAGATTTTTTCACAATTCAGTGAAGCTTTTCTAATGTGTAATGTTTAGGGGAAAGCTATTTGGATGAGGAGAAGTGTAAATTAAGGTTTATTTCTGAAGAAAATTCAAGCAGTGTGTAAACAAAAAATCCATATTAATAAAGGAGATTAACTACAAAAAAGTGTGCCCAGACAGGCTTACATTCCAAATTAGGATGCTAAAGCCAGAAATAGTCATAAAAATTTCTAAAGCTAGAATCAAATGGGATTTTAGTAATCAAAAAAGTGTGCCCAGACAGGCTTACATTCCAAATTAGGATGCTAAAGCCAGAAATAGTCATAAAAATTTCTAAAGCTAGAATCAAATGGGATTTTAGTAACTTTTTTAAATTTATTTAACAACTTCATTAAACAACCTTATAGATGAGGAAACTGAGGTCTAGAGTGGCTTCTATAGTTAATCTAAGATTTAATATCTAGTAAGTAGAAGATTTAGTAGTAGAATCTGTAGGATGACTGACTCAGTCTCTTTTGAAATCTTATGTATTTGAAGGTAACCTGAAACATGCTCCTTCTATTAAGTTTTTTTCTTAATTTTAATGAAGGGTTGTTACTCAATAACTTGTACATCTAACTTGTGGAGAAAATGGAAGTTATAATCCATAATGAATTTTATGTCAATACACAAATAGTTCCAACTGCCAGAAGATGGCACTGATTACATGTGAAATAATACCTTCTAAGCACGCAGACCCTGTATGCTTCAGTTGAGAAAGTAAAATGAAGGGAAAATGCATTTAGTAGTTTCTAAGGTATCTGTATATGCGAGATAGACCAGAATGAAACATTGAATCATAACATATTACAGAACTAGTATCCTTCTTTTAAACATTTAGTATATATGAGCTCCCACATGCACATATGTGCACTCACACCAAAAACATATTTGTGTTTAGTTATATTTACAGTTAATTTACATGTTAATTTGTTTTTACAGAGAGAAAGAAAACATTTTAGGTAGTTGAATCATTCTTATAGACTTATGAGAATTGTCTTTCAAATTGCCAGGTGTTACTTTATTCTTGATGCCAACATCTTGAAATAGAGCAGTTTATTCTAAATCTAATAAAACAGTAAGGGATACTTATCTTTATGATAACTTAAATAAGAAATTCATCTACTAAGTTTTGAAAAAAATCCTTGCACACATAGATACGCATGTCAGCTTGGGGAATTTGCTTTTTTAAAAAAAGGATGCTGTCATAAGTCTTAGTTATTCTATTTCTTACATCATATAGATAATTTCTCATTTTATGTGAAGGGCAAGAATTAAAATGAGAAATTTTCTATTCTGATTACTTAAGGTTTACTTTGTAAATCTAATGAATGTTTATATTTTTCATGGGTTCAAGAGTTAAACTGCATAAGTCTCCCATTTCCTCAGAAACTTTTCTCCAAAGAACTCTGTGATTGTTCATCCACATGCTCAAAAAAGATAGGACAACAAATTTGAATCATGACATTTTATTAATAAGTAATGATTAATCAAGTCAACAAATAAATCACTATACCAGCATAATTCATAATTTTTAATGATGTAGTTGCATACATAAAATAGTAAATTTTTATCTTCAGGAAAAATTAAGTGCTAAATATTAGTAATTATTTAAGTTCTTGTTATGAAAAATATGGGATTTTTTATCAGAAAGTATTACCGTTTTATTATGAATTTGTTTTATTATAATTCTTTATGATAATAAAATATAGTCATTTAGAAGTTTTTTCATAAGTCAGCCATAATTAGGTACCAAAAGGTACAATTTGAAAGGTAGGTGATAATCTTACTCATGTTTAATACCCAGAGATTGATGGAGTGTGTGTGTGTGTGTGTGTGTGTGTGTGGTATATATAAAGCATGGGTTCCGCAATCAGTTGGATTTGACAGCACAGTGTATTATAAATTGTAATTGAAATTCAGAATAACTCAGAACATGAAGCCCTTGTGAAGAATTAAAAAGCCATGGTTGCTATTAAATTAATAAAAATAGATTTAATGTGTTAAATGATTTCATAATTA